TTGATTCGTTATATCTAAGTAAGTATTGTTTTATTATACGACAAAATAAAAAAATACGTGTCTAATATTTTTTCATTACCTAACTTACGGCCTACCTAATTATATTTTTAATTTTCATACCCTGTCATCATCCCAATTCTCATATCCCTAATTCGCTTAAAGTCTGCATATGTAGGTAGCTAACTCTTCTGCGAGATTTCAACGAGATACCTATCTCCCTAGGGATGTGTCGTATCAGGTGTTGCACCGTGGAGGCTCCGGAGCAGGTCTTTTAGAGGACCCGGTGCCTCCATACAGGTGTTGAGGGTGGCCACCGGGGTGGTTTTAGCGAGGTAAAAGTCCCACACTCTAGACGCCTTTTGAGGGGTTTCATCAATAAAAAGGTATCTGACTTCTCTAGTGTTCCAAGTGTCCATGGGCGACGCCGATTGCTTAACATCAGTTGATCCGTCTGTTCGTTTATCATAAAAAAGTTTTTAATCTTCAGCGGATACAGATACTAAATACAAATTGGGGTACTCAGCGTTAATTGACGACACGGTTGGCGCGGTGGCTTGGCTGCCGCACAACGTGTCAAGGGTTCGATTCCCGCCCTGCAACTCATTGTGTGATCCATAGATTGTTGTTCCGGGTCTGTGTGTCATGTGTATGTGAACTTGTATGTTTGTAAACGCTCCCACGATACAGGAGAAAATCATAGTGTAGGGCAACGTTTAAAAAAACAATAATGTACCTGTGACCTGTAGACTGCTGTATGCCATCTCGATTTCAATTTAGAAGTTAATTTAAATAAATCCATTTTAAAAATTTTAATACAAAATGTGAATATATCTAACGGTTATGAAGAGAATTGCGAATTGATAACTCGTAAATATTTGGAAAATTACTCTGTAGCGACATCTATTAGTTTCAAGGCGCATTAACAGCGACTTGAACTTAAAGTAAAACTTGTTAGTAACTACACTCTAAACTAGATGGCAGCACATGTACACAAAGCACCGCTAATTAGTTAGCGGCGCTACACATCGACACAACTATCATTTACACAATATACATGTGTGGGTAATTTCATATCAATAGATATGTATAGAAACAATCGTCTATCACACACATCTTGGTATTTAAAAATCATTTTTGTGTCGGTATACGCAATAATTTAGTAAATAAGTTTAAATAAAAACGAGGGTAAAGATAAAATTACTCATAACAAACTTTGAATAAATCGAAATCAAAAATAATGAACGATCGAGCTATACAATACCCATATAAATATAATGCTTTCTCATTGTAATTTTATGTTACTGAATGATATAAAATATTTCGATGATCTCATCTACAGCGCGCTTGGCGCAATGGTTATCGCCTCCAATTGTCAAGTAAAGTGCCGCCGGATCGATTCCAACATTCACATGTTGTTTTAGAATTAATTTATCAAATATTTGAAATTTGAAATTGAAATTAGAAACAATTAAATCTTTTCTTTTTTTTTCCTTTCCTATTGTTCTAAATCTTATGTTAATTTTAATAGTAAATACTTTAGATTTATTTATACCTATAATATCTTTTATTTATATTTTAGTTCTAGTTATTTATTATTTAGAATAATCTCATTTGCTTCATGCATTTCAACCAACTTAAATAAGATAAAAACAGTAAAAAAGTAATTAACTGTGATTTCTTAATGGTTCGATACCTGAGTATATTTGCAATGTTTGTGGCGACCATAGAAATCTCGAGTCATTTTATTTTACACGCTTATGAAGTAACTACCGACTATTTAAAACATGTTTTTCAAATCACCCGACTTACAAAATAATTGCGTTCTTAGTTGTCAATTTATGAGGATTTCATAGTTTATTGCTACACTATTTATTCGTGTGCAAAGTTATTTTTATTTTTACAAGATGTTCCAACACCTATCAACATTTAAAAAGGCTGAAACCATTGTTTTGCATGAGCAAAACATAACTAACAATAACTGAAATAGCAAGGCGTTTAATGATATCGGTGAGTAAATAAGATACTACGTTGTTATTCTAAATAATATTTATTTCATTTTGTAACTCGACACACCTATCAATTTTTGCACTAGAATAAAATAATTATTGCAACTTATTATGAAGTTCAATATTATAAAGATTATTAATAATTTATTATTAATTGTATTGTAACTTGACTTGTTTTTGTTAGGAGTGTTTCTTTAAAACATATCTGGTTAGGGATTTTTATTCCTTACGCCACTACTTAATTATAAATTATTATTCTAACATTGTGTTTACTTATATTTATTATTATTTTTAAGTAACTTTAATTCCTGTAAAGTATTTCCTGGTATTTTAAATACTTATTTGTTTGGTATCAACAGAGGAGATCCATGCAGTTATGGGTGCACAGATATGCGGAGACCGGTGACGTTAAACATCGTCGACGTGGGCCTAAACCAAAGGCAAATTCATCGGCTCGGCACTACGACATCGTAGCCAGGCACATGGCTGATCCGTTCCTGCCAACCCGCACTACAGCGACAGCACTGAATGTTTTAATACAAACTGTACGGAGACACCTGCATTCTGGTTTAAGGTGCAGGAAGCCAGAGAAGAAAATATAGTTATCTGTGGTTCACCAGCAAAAGCGCTAAGAATTTGCTAAGGACTTTATTAATTTTGATTGGGCGAACAGTGTAATCATATTGAGCGACGAAAAGACTTTCAAGTCGGATAAGGATGGGCGTAAAATATTGTGAAGAAAAGATGGAGAAAGGTATACGAATTGCAACCTTCTGCCTTGTAGGATCAGTGATTGTATTGATTTCGGAATCAATTATTGAGCCTGTCAAACTCTGCCTTTATTAAAATTAACATAAAATAATGTTTAATTTTTTTAAGAATATTAAAATGCTGTCTAGAACATACGGTGCAGTGATGTTATTGTTTTGTGGTTAGAAATTGTCATAATTTCTTTCTATTCAACATGTTTATTCACTTCACTTTAATTTTTCATTAACAAATTTATTTAACTGCTTTCGAACTTGATTGACATATTATATTTACGCCCATCTTCAATTAATTTAAAGTTTCCCTGATTCTAAAGGTCATGAAAGTTAAAATCGTTCCATAGCATTCGTCACATTCTTTTTACTATCATACAGCCCACTGAATATTGAACCTTATAACAACCGTCGTAAAATAGATAATTAATGGAAGTTCAAACGACAAAAAGTCGCCATTTCAAGAAATATTTTACATGTAATTTTTTACATGTTTTACTTGTTTATTACTGTAAAACTGTAATTTAATAATACATTATATTATTAAATTACAAAACAAGAATGTTGTATATTTGTTTATTACCTACTTAATAAAAAATGTTGCTGCCATCGTATTACCGCTGTACCGCATGATATTTCCCGATTCGACTATGAGGTTTATTGTCATATCTATTAATTATGATTTAAAGAACTTTAAACTTAACATGTGGTATATAATTAATTATTAGATATAAATATTGAATATAAAACAACATATTTGTATAATAAATAAATTAATTGTAATAAAAAATAGTATTGTTTTATTTACCAACTCATTTGCTTCTTTTATAGCCTGATATTTATATTTTGTGACAAAAAACAAAAAAATAAATAAGAAAAATAACAAGGTAAAATAAAATTAACTTTTAGCTGGAAAAGAACCCACATCATTGATCCTTGAAAGACGATAAAAGCGTGCTCATTAACCAATCGACCACGAGCACTACGATAATGACAGTGAAAATGTCGGGTCATATCAATGATTGTAAATAGTTTTAACCTTACCTATGCATTAAATTATAAAAATACGTATACCGACACAAGAATGAAAATACCAATGTGAACGTGGTGGAAGAATATTTTTATATACAGTTATATGAAATTACGCACACATGTACACTGTGTAAATGACAGTTGTGTCGATGTGTAGCGCTGCAACTAATTAGCGGTGCTTTGTGTACATGCATTGAAATAAATAAAATTATAACAAAACTAACATTATTTATTACTCAACAACAGAATTATATTACAATCCAAAAACAAAATTAAATAAAAACATAAATAAATAATAGAACAATATGAAAATAACGGAAAAAAATATACAACTTATAACAAAGGTTGTTATACGGAAAATTTGTTGTTTTTTCATACCTTTGTCTGTGGTATTTAAACCATCTTTTACAATATATTTTCGTAGACCAACACACCACAACACAATCATCTCTGTCCACTCTAAATCTGAGACGTCACAATGGTAAATAATTCTATCTGATTTTGACAAATTTTCAAACAATTCTAAGGTATTCGTGTCGTTAAAAATCCATCCATGATTTGAGTAGAAGGCTATAGTCGACGCCATTTTGGTCACAGTTGAATATATCTTCTTTAATCTGGAAATAGAATATAACTTTTAATAAAGGGTGTAATTTAAGTGTGGGAGAGCCATGCTTCGGCACGAATGGGCCGGCTCGACCGGAGTGGTAGCACGTCCTTACAGAAAACCGACGTAGAACAATGCTTGCGTTGTGTTTCGTCGCCTGAGTGAGGTTACTGGAGGCCCAATTACTCCCTCTCCCCTCCCCAATCTCTCCAATCTCAGAATCCCCCACAATCCTCAAATACCCAATTCCTAAAAGGCTGGTGACGCACTTGTAACGCCTCTGGTGTTTCAGGTGTCAATGGGCGGCGCCGATTGCTTACCATTCATTTCATTCCATAAAAAAAGGTCTGCGACAGCCGCTGCATGCAAGTCGTTTCCAACCTCGCGATGTGTAGTCATTGGGGGAGGACTGTGGGGGGCAGGGGACGGTTAGTGGCTGTACGCATGATGGTGATGAAGTGTTGAACTCTTTGGTTGAATTCTTGAAATTTTTTGAAAGTTTTTATTAGATTTTTTGAAGAGACCGGAAGCTTGCCCCCGTATAACATAGGAATTATACATACCAAAGACAACTACATAAGATTCGTCACTTTTTCAACCACTGCAAAAATTATGATACAACCTCATTTCAATACACAAAAATATTTAAACCAATCCACAAACCTGGGCGGTTTCTTCAAGATCACACAAGCACCATCAGCCAAATTAGCAGGTATGGTGTGAAGGAGGAAGCTGACGAGCTGGTGCAGCCACAAGAAAGGAGATTGGACCACAAAGCAGTACCATATGGCGTGCGGAGATACTATAGTCCTTCGAGCCACATTGTTGAGTATATTGGTCAGACCACCTGCGAAGAAAATGGCGTGATGCGAGTATTAATTTCTGAACAGAAGTATTTTTTTAAAGAAATAAGCATAATAAGTATCTGCTGCCTCGTTGGCCGAGTGGTTGCAAGAGCGACTGCCGGGCAAGGGGTCTCGGGTCGGGCGAACTATTACTGGGTTTGTAAAAACCTCAGTAGTAGCACGGAGTCTGGAATTGTGCCCGGCATACGGCAATAGGCTCACCCCCTATTACATGGGACTCATAACATAAATAGTGAAAAGTGGGTGTTACATTGTACAGTGGCATTAAGTGCCGTAATGTACACCTCTGCCTACCCCTTCGTGGATAAAAGGCGTGATATTATGTTATGTAAGCCAGTAAACGAGCAGACGGATCACCTGATGGTAAGCAATCGGCGTCGCCCATGGACACCTGGAACGCCAGAGGTGTTACAAGTGCGTTACCGGCCTTTTGGGAATTAGGAGTTTGATGATTGTTGGGGATTCAGGAATTTGAGCGATTTGGGACGAGGAGGGCGTGGGATTATTGGGCCTCCGGTAATCTCACTCAGCGGATATTATGACCCACCTCTTTTAAAAGGTTCAGGTTTATCAGAGAGCGTTGTAGTTCGGTCTCGGTTGAATGGGCAGTACCTTTTCACTTCACGTGGGTTACGTCGTCGTAACCCACGTGAAGAGTGTCGCGGAGAACCTAACGGGTAACCGGGGCTCCGGCTCGACGTGCAGGAGAAGGAACGGGGTGGTTTTTAGTCAGTAAGAGTCTGACACTCCCTTCCGCCTCACTCAGGCGGGAGCAGCCATTCGATGATTTTCCCCCCTTAAAAAAAAAAACCCACGTGAAGAGTAGAGGTGGCCCTGGTGTACTCTTCTCTGTCAATTACTTACCCCAAGTCAAATGATTCCTCTTGCTGGTAGCGACGTGATAGATCTTGGTGGTTCTGTTAGAAGCTGCCGCAGCTACGATTGCGGTGTTGTTCACGTAGTCCACTGGTACGAAGTCTATTCTGATGTCCTGGACTGATTGGAGGGAGTGGATCACTCCCATCATACACCCAAGTGTGATCTGGAAGCATCATAATTATTTTTTCTGGCAGTCTGATCAAATAGTAATAAGTCATGAATGACTTTATGTGAAATAATTAGGTAGTTTCCAGGGTATCAACATTAAAAGTCTAATTAGCTCGTCAGTTAGATAACATGAAAAAATATTAGACACGTATTTTTTTTATTTTCTCATATTAATTTGCAATACTTAGATAAAATGGCACTAAGTTTAGGAGTGGGTCGTTACGTCATAACGTGCTACAAAATGTGACACGCTGTGACGTCACACGATATTTCAAATTAATATATCGTCCAAAATATATAATTTTGTGCGAAAAGAAAAAATATGTGTCTAAAGTTTGAATTAATGTACAGACGGACATTAAAATAAAATTTAGGAAACTACCCTATTATGTGAGTGGGTTCTCTGAAGATGATTTGGCACCAAAATCTATCCAGCAGCTGTAGCCAAATGCCATTTAGCGCTTGTCTACATGTAGAAAAGAAAACTAAATTCTATGGAATTGACGCAAATTTTGACACTTGGCAGTGTCATCTCCATACATTTAGTTTTCTACTCTCTCTGTACCAAATTATGGTTTAATTGAAAAAAATGCCTTCACTTTGGTTTTGACTTACCCCACTTGGTCCAAAAACACTGCTGAGATCAATCCATCCAGCGTAGGGTTCTCTTCTGGCACATACCACTGTAATAGAGAAGAAACAAATACTCCATCAGCTCTCCTCTACACTCCTCTAGTATTTTAAGTACAGAAAGTAGCTAAAGTTCTCAGGACTTACCAACAGCCGGTCTGATCACGGAAACAGGTAATTCTTTGGAGTTGACTCTTAGTAATTCTTCAGCGAGCGCCTTTGTAAAAGAGTACGTGTTAGGCCAGTCTTTGATGAGTCTGAAATCAAGTACGTCAATCAACGCCTTTTTTCGTCATCGTCATTATCATTATCTACCGTCGTGGTGGCCCAGAGGCTAAGAAGCCCGCTTCTCATGCATGCGGATTCGAAACCTACCAACGACAAGTACCAATGTTACTTTTTCCGAGTTATATGTACTTTCTAAGATTATTTAGACACCACTGACAAACGGTGAAGGAAAACATCGTAATTTCCAATTATAAGTTTGAAATCGCCAACCCTTTATGAGCAAGCGTGGTGATTAATGCTCAAACCTTCTCCGTGTGAGAAGAGGCTTTGGTCAGCAGTAGGCACTTATAGGCTGTTGATGATAGTAGGCTCTTATGCCACGTGGGAAGAGTACTATATTCTTCTTCACAAAATAGGAACTTACTCATCTTTAATCCGGTTCAACCGCTCCTCCTCCAAGGACTCAGCCAGCTCAATCATCAGCTCAGGTGACATGGGACTAGTGTAGAACTCCTCCATGATCTCTGTCCCTCCCCTGCTGTAGGTAGCGTGGGAGTATGCTGTCGACATGTAGACGAATGACCTGAAGATGATAGGGAATTATTTATAGCATTGTGATTTTTGCGGGACGATTCCGCGGCCGAATACCTGTTTTTTTTAAGACGGGGGGATACCTTCAAAATGAGCATAGTTTTTTTGGGGATAAAAGACTGGGGAGTTTTTTACCTCACTAAAACCACCCCGTGGCCACTCTCAACACCTGAATGGAGGCACCGGGTCCTCTAGAAGAGACCTGCTCCGGCGCCTCCACGGTGCAACGGCTGTTACGACACATCCCTAGGAGATGCGACCTGGAGATGCTGTGCTGCACAGGACGCCGACACAGCACAATAGTCGTGACAATTAGTGTTTTTTATTACTTACATATTATGTATTTTATTTTAGACTAGCAGCCCGTCCCGGCTTCGCACGGGGTAGACAATTATTCATTTTTGTAAATTTGGATTGTTGTAGTGACATTACTACAATAGTTGGACATATGCTACCGCGGATTTTTTTTAGACATTATGATGTTCTTCAATTTTGTTGCACATTAGTTTGTTCTATCGCTAATAGTTCGGCAGCGCATTCGACGAAAGACATTTTAAGACTCATTTTTCTACACCTTCGGTTACATTGTTCAAATTTTAACAAGGATCCCTAATTTTTTCCACAATGAAATATAGCCTATGTCAAATTGGAAGAATGTAGCATTCTATTGGTGAAAGATTTTTTTAAATCGGCCCAGTACTTTTTGAGCCTATTCATTACAAACATACAAAAATAGGTACAAGTCTTTCCTCTTTATAATATTGGTATAGCTGATATAGATATACAAACTTTTGTTTACAAATAATATAAACTTAGATAAAATAAATACTAACTAAGACTTAAGAGTTCAAGATACACTAAAACTAATGGAAAAAATGGTTAAGCATTGCCATACAACGTGGCAATGCTGCCAGCCTTCTGGGTACTTTCCCTATTGACGTCGATGCGGACGAATGTTTTGATGCACTATGTAAACAGTAATTTTTAGTTTACTTTTATTTAATTTAGTTTCTCTTAAACTCTTAAATAATATGTATTTATAGTATTTCAAATTAAAATTGTATTAGATAGATAAATTAGATATTAGAGTAACATTGTATTTTAATATGGGCCTTCGTTACCTTTTTTTATGGCATAAGCCGGTAAACGCCATGCTTCGGCTCGAATGGGTCAGCTCGACCGGAGTGATACCACGGCCGAGCAGAAAACCGGCGTGAAGGAACTCTTGGTCGTGTGAGTAAGGTGACCGGAGACCCAATTCCACCCCCCCCCTTCCCAATCTCCCCAATCCCTGAACCCTGTATCCATGGGAGATACAGATTATATACCATCAGGTGATCCGTCTAATCGTCTAGAATCCCAAACAATCCTCAAACCTCTAATCCCCAAAAGGCCGGTAACGCACCGGTAACTCTTCAAGTCTTGCAATCAGTGCAATCGGTGCCGCTCATGGACTCCCGTCCTTGCTTACCATCAGGTCATCCGTCTGCTCGTTTACCAACCTAGACCATAAAAAATATACATACCTCAAACGTCTGCATTGTTTAGCCAATGTGATCATCTCCATGGTTCCTCTGACGTTGATGAGAGTGGCTGACCGGAGTGGCTCTTGGAACGATATGGTGGCAGCCACGTGGAAGATGATGTCTACCTAGAGAATGTAGACAGAAACCTTCACTTGTTATTGATAGACAATAATAGAATCTATAGAACTTTTGATATTCAAAATACAATTTCGAAACCAACCAATAATATGGTAGTTTCCTAAATTTTATTTTAATGTCCGTCTGGTACATTAATTTAAAACATTAGACACGTATTTTTTCTTTTCTCACAAAATTAAATACTTTCGACGATATATTAATCTGAAATATCGTGTGACGTCACAGCGTGCCACATTTTGTAGCACGTTATGACGTAACGACCTCCCACTCCTAAACTTAGCGCCATTTTATCTAAGTATTGCAACTTAATACGAGAAAATAAAAAAATACGTGTCTAATACTTTTTCATTATGTAACTGACGGACTAATTAGATTTTTAATTTTGATACCCTGGAAACTACCCAATTATTGGTTCCTGGTATGCCAGGTCTAATCACTGTATTTGAATGGTTTAATTGCCTCTTTGGCCGAGTGGTCGCAAGTACGACTGCCAGGCAAGGGGGTCTCGGGTTCGATTCTCGGGTCGGGTATAGTATTAGTATTACTAGGTTTTTTTAAATTCAGTAGTACCGTAGGTCTCGGTATATGGCAATAGGCTCACCCCCTATTACATGGGACTCATTACTTAAATAGTGAAAAGTGGGTGTTACATTGTACAGTGGCATTAAGTGCCGTAATGTGCACCTCTGCCTTCGGGCTGATAATGATGGTGATGTTGGATAATGGTGTTATAAGTACCTCTTTAATAATAAGTTTTCTATCAGCATCACTAATGGCTAGATTCTTCTCTGATAATTCTCCTATTATAGGAATTATTCTTTTCACGAAGTCCGGTTTCTCTTCTCGAAGAATGTCGTAGAGCTGAAACAAATAAAATATATCTTACTTAAAGGATCAGTAGAATACCAAGGCCCTGTCTTGTACATTTTTTTTATGGCATAAGCCGGTAAACTAGCAGACGGATCACCTCATGGTAAGCAATCGGCGTCGGTCATGGACACTTGGAACACCACAGGCGTTAAAAGCGCGTTACCGGCCTTTTGGGGATTAGGAGTTTGAGGATCGTTGGGGATTCAGGAATTGGGGAGATTGGGGAAGGGGAGGGTAATTGGGCCTCCGGTAACCGCAGTCACACGACGAAACACAACGCAAGCGTTGCATCACGTCGGTTCGTTGGTGGTATCACTCCGGTCGAGCCGGCCCATTCGTGCCGAAGTATGGCTTTCCCACACTTGAAATGAGGACATGCTGAACTGGTCCCATTTCGCGGCAGACTTGGGACATGAACATGTATCCATCAGTACCTACTAAGTACTAATACAATGACTTATCTGTACATACCACTTGTAGCATGAAATTGAGTTTTCTTTCTTCTCTCTTTCTTTCTATCAGGTGAATGAAAAGTTTCAAAAATTAAGACAATTCACTTACAGGATCCTGTGATATTTCAGTAATTCTTTCTTCAACCGACTTCCCCCTTTTAGGTCTCATTAGTACGTATACTTTCTTCAGCTCGCACGTCCTGACATAAAAGTAAAAAAAACTGTATACATTAATTTGACAATTTACAATTTTTTTGTTTGTTTTTTTGTATGAGGTAAGCCGGTAAATGAGCAGACGGATCACCAGGGTGCTTACTCTTAAAACCAATCTCAATGTCAATACAATTTGAATCCAATAAAATAGCAGTAATTATTCAATGTCAACACTATACAACCCCAATCGTAGCTGTTAAAATAGCATTCATTCAGTACGGAATATAAAGCCAAACTCAATACCGTTTAGTTAATTCAATACCCACGCGATACGGATAGGTACGTGTTGCAACTCAAGTGTACGAAATTTCACAATACCAATGTCGATTGGTCGGAATTGGATTTAAGAGTAAGCTCCGTGATGGTGCTGATGTAAAGGCCGGTAATGCACTTATAACGCCTCTGGTGTTGCCGGTGGCTATCAGGTGATCCGTCTGCTCGTTTACAGACTTATTTCATAAAAAAATTAAAACTAATGTAATGTGGCATTTGATAACATATTTAAGTAACAGCCAAACATACACAAACTTGCTATTTCTTTAAGAAAGGGGAAAGAAGGGTTGTTGAAACCCTTTTCAAGACCCTGGTTCCTAGTTTCCTCACCTGAAGAGTTTCTCGACAAGCTGCTTGCCCAGGAACCCTGAGGCTCCAGTCAGGAACACAGTGCTGTCTTTATAGAACTGCTGGACCGTGGAGTCACCTCGATCTATCACACTTTTTGTCCCTTTCTGACAATCTAGGGCTTTTAAAATCACTTTTTCTGCGGCATCCATGTTGATTTATTTAGGTGATTGGTAAAGGTCTGTGTTTGGTAAAATTGCTGGACTAAATTGGATGCTTCAGTTTTTTAACCAGTAATTATTAGTGTTAGTGTATTTGCAGATACGATTAGGATCTTTAAGTCACTGATCAGTGAATTCGCAGATACGATCAAGTTCCACTGATTTTTATGAAAATTATTTTATGTAAGTTATTTTTTTTCGTTTAATAATAATAATATTATTTCGAGGTTTCACTCGCTCTGCTCTTCGCCTATTATTCGTAGTGTGATATTTTATAACCTATAGCCTTCCTCGATAAATGGGCTATCCAAAACAAAAAGAATTTTTCAAATCGGAGCAGTAGTTTCGGAGATTAGCGCGTTCAAACAAACAAACAAAAAAAACAAACTCTTCAGCTTAATAATAATTTAAGTATAGATTACTATATATTTATAAGTTTCTTTATTTTTTGTTTTTAAATGTAGCATTAAAAAAGTAATTGTGGAGTATTTCAAATAAATGTATCATTTAGATTTTCTTTTTACTTCTTTTTCCTTCTTCTGTTTCTGTTCTTCTTTTGTTTTTAGCAAGGTAAGTAATAAATATTATATACGATACGTTTTATGTTTATTTTAATAGTATTTATTTGGTTTTATATTATCATTTTGATTTTTATAACAATTTGCGTCCGTGAATTTCACTATACAAAATAATACGCGATGGAAAACGAGACAAACCTATTTTTTTTTGATGCCTTAAGATAGCATTTTATTATTATTACTTTTTAGTTATATTTTAAGTTGTATATATTTATTTGATTAGAATTATTGTAATGAATTAAATTTGTAAACATAAAATAGACAGACATATAGTTTTTAATAGAAATTCATTAATAACTTTAGATGCTGTAAATATTATTAAACAATTCTGAGTTACTATACTTTACCCGATGACTGAAAGAAATAAATTAATTACATAGAAGTATCTTATTTTATACACAGTCGCATTTCATAACTCAATATGTTCAAATATTTACAAACTATTTATTGATTTTACATTGTTCTCACACAATCGAACCAACAAAACTATGTAACTAGTAAATTGTATTGTGAATCTGATTGAAAAAGAGTAACCTATGGAGTTTCTTGCTCGTTCTTCTACATAGGAATCTACACTTTGAAATGAGCAAATAGCTTCAATTTTAATTATGTTTGTTGACGTTCAAAACTGTCTTTCTGGTTTAATTGAAATAAATGATTTTGACTTTGACTTTGACTGTTTACTGTTACTTTTGAATATGATCGAGTGAAATTACTGTTTTTAATATTTTTTTATGTTTTACTCACAATTTTAATAACTAGAGCAGTTAAATAGTGACTGAGCAAATCGTTGCTTCTAGTTGAACCGTTATATATAAACTAGACCTCATGCATATTGGATTAGGGTTCAAACTTGAACTTCACCTTTAGTTATTGCGTTGTAGATTTCCTAGGGTTTAAGTAAGTACTAAGGACGTATTTATGAATCCCTAACGTGTTTGTTGAAAGAATGAATGCTTAACTGGGTTCTGCCAGTGGCTTTGCCCGCAGTCTCATCTTTTTGTTTTTGGTTTTTTTAAAAAAAAAACGTTGCACCACACTAGGATTTTCTCCTATGTCGTGGGTGTGTTTACAAACATACAAGTTCACATACACAAAGACACCCAGACCCGAAACAACAATTTGTGGATCACACAAAGTGTTGTCCCGTGCGGGAATCGAACCCGCGACACGTTGCACGGCAGCCGGTTGCCCAGCCACCGCACCAACCGTGCAGTCAATCTTATATCTTATACTATTATATAAAGCGGAAGAGTTTGTTTTTTTGCTTGTTTGTTTGTTTGAACGCGCTAATCTCCGTAACTACAAGTCCGATTTGAATAATTATTTTTGTGTTGGATAGCGCATTTATCGAGGATGGCTATAGGCTGTAAAATATCACGTTACGACCAATAAGAGCTGAGCAGAGCGTGTGAAACCGCGCGGAAGTAGCTATATACTATTATATAAAGCAGAAGTGTTTGTTTTTTTGTTTGTTTGTTTGAACGCGCTAATCTCCGTAACTACAAGTCTGATTTGAATAATTCTTTTTGTGTTGGATAGCGCATTTATCGAGGATGGCTATAGGCTATAAAACATTACGCTACGACCAATAGGAGCTGAGCAGAGCGTGTTTTTCCAGACCATAATCTATCCCTGTTCCAAATATCATCCCGATCCATATATAACATCACGCCTTTTACCCCTGAAGGGGTAGACAGAGGTGCACATTATGTCTGTACAATGTCACACCCGCTTTTCACTATTTATGTTATGAGTCCCATGTAATGTAATAATACCGGGCACAATTCCAGGCTCCCTGCTACTACTGAGATATTTTTTTTAAAACCTAGTAATACTTTGCTCGACCCGGGAATCGAACCCGAGACTCCTTGCTCGGCAGTCACACTTGCGACCACTCGGCCAACGAGGCAGTTATCCCGATCCCTTTAATTGTTTTGACGTGAAGAAGTAAGAAACAGTCGCCTTCGTATTTTTATAGTATTACTAACTTCTGCCTGCGACTTCGTACGCGCAATCCCATGTTCTCCCGTTCCCGTAGGAATTTCAGGACTTTTTCTGTCTTAAGAACCTTCTCCTAATAATAAGCTAAGAGCGAAAAGGCAGACAAGAGAAGGGGTGCGCCTATTGCCGAACTATCAAGCTGTTATATGCTATTTCTATTTAGTGCATAAAAAGTTACAAAAGTCAATCAGAGTTCTTGGGCTTTTGTGTTAAAAAAATTTAAGGTTTTTTTATGGCATAAGCCGGTAAACGAGCTGACGGATCACCTGATGGTAAGCAATCGGCGTGGCTTTGGCACATCTGGAACACCAGAGGCGTTGTAAGTGCGTTACCGGCCTATTTTTATTAATTAGGAATTTGAGGATTGTTGGAGATTCAGGGATTGGGGAAGGGTTGGGCGTGATAATTGGGCTTCCGGTAACCTCACTCACTCGACGAAACACAACGCAAGTGTTGTTTCACGTCGGTTTTCTGTGAGGCCGTGGTATCACTCCGGGCGAGTCGAAGGATGGTTCTCCCACACTATGTTAGCAAATTCTTGTGATGTAGATAAGCTTTCATACACATTGAAATCTATTTCGTTTCCTAAAATGGTTCTGTCTCGGTAGTACAATAGTTTTACAAAGAAATAAAATGTTTAAAACAAATAATAACTGGTGAAACATTGTAGAAAGCAAACTGTGACAGCGCATAAGAACTCTCATACTTATAGTACATTATCAAAACATCACGCCATGTATATCTCGAAGATGTATTTCTCGTCGAGTGGCACATGTGATGCAATTAGTGCCTACAAATGTGCGTCTAGTGTTTCATGTGCGTTTTTCCATGATTTTTTTTAACTAAAGAATATACCTATAATTGGCCTCTGCTGACCAAAGGCCTTTTTCTCGCACGGAGAAAAAAATAAATGATATATCTCTATTTTTTGATTTTCCTTTACACATCGAAAGTGCTCCTTACGGAAATTTGTTTTGCCGCGGAATGAAAACGAAATAGATTCCACGATGTATAGGTAGTCCATTCGAACTCCTTTTATAGCGTGTAATTATGTACAATCAGGTTGTCCCATATTATAATTATGTATATAGGACTCATATAACATGCCTAATTCTCAAAAAACCAGGTCAGTGTTTTTAATATAAATAAAATATAAAATTTCCCGGTATATGGCAATAGGCTCACCCTCTATTACATGGGACTCATAACACAAATAGTCAAAAGTGGGTGTTACATTGTACAGTGGCATGAAGTGCTGTAAGGCAGAGGTGCGCGCCTACTCTCGGAGGGATAAAAGGTACATGTGTTATATTATGTTAAAAATACAAATAAAACAACAAGGAAACCACTTAATAAACAATATATTGGACAGCCTTAAACATATAGAACGCGATCATAAACCACACGTATATATATAATATCATAAAGACCCAATTCGCGTAATACAACTTCTTCTGTTTAACATAAGCCTTTTCGGAATCAATTAATCCATCTTTGACTATGTATTTTCTCAATCCAACAATCATACGTTTAAGATATTCTTTATAATTTATGCTATTGACGTCACAGTTGTATATATCTTTATCTTCGTCCGACATTCTATTAATCATGGCGACCAAATTATCATCCTTGAAATGCCACTCGTTCGTCATGAAGTAACCGAATACTTTCGATACTTTGTATATTTTCTCATATACTTTTGTTGCTCTGAAATTAGAAGGAAATTATTATTAATTGACACCAATAAAGAGGTCACCGCTAGCCGAGGTATTCCTTGTAGCGCTCCCGTTTTGAAGCGCTCCCATCTAAGCGCTCCCTTTTTTTCCTCGAAGCGCTCCCATGATTAACTTTCGGATAGAGATAGGACTATATTAATAGACATATAGTGACCAGATTGGCGACATATTAAAGAAGGGCCAAATTAAAAGTACTTAACCGACGAGCATGCATGAAAAGACTGATGACTGTTGAAGAAGCGAAAGAGGTATGTAGGAATCGTAGTAATTGGCGTTCCTTAGTCTCTGCCTACCCCCATGGGAGACAAGCGTGAAGTTATGTATGTATGTATGTATGTATATTAATCGAAATTATCGACAATAACTTTGTAGTAAGCTGAACACATTGTTATAACGTACAACTAGCGGCCCGTCCCGGATTCGCACGGGTTTGGATTTTTTTTTGTTTTATTGTATATCCACGAAATAGATAAATATAATTTGCGGAAATATGTACATATACTACGTAATCATATATTTTTATTGTTTAGAAAGCTTATGATTTCTCTCCATTATGTTTCGTAAACAAAACAGGAGCGCTTAGATAGGAGCGCTTTAAAATGGGAGCGCTACAAGGAATACCTTTGCTAGCCTCTTCTCACACGGAGAAGGTTTAAGCATGCAAGCGAGCAAGAGCTATCTACAACCTAGGTCGTCGCGAATCTCTCAGAGAGAGGTTTAAAGAGATCAACATTATGACCGTTCCATGTCAATTTATCTATGAAAACATTATGTATGTTAGGAAAAATCTACAGTTATTTGGTAAAGTGTCGGACAGACACCACTATCAAACTAGACATAAGGATAGATTAAGTCAGCCAATTTTGAGATTGGCGAAAGTGGGTAAATCGTTCATGGGATTCTGTGTTAAATGTTATAACAAGATACCAAGCGATATACAGCACCTAAATGAAATGAAGTTTAAATTATGTATAAAAAAAACTTTATGTAGACAAGCATATTACAAAATTAATGATTATATAGAAGATAAAAATGCTTGGATGCACGCTGGTCCAGCTCCACGGGATAACGAAAAACATTGATGTGTCAATGAAATTCAACCTAAATATTAAATGTATAATGTTTAACTTGCATAATTATTGTTAATGTGAGAGCCCTGTAATTAACTAAATATTAAATTGGACTAGTAAAATGCATTTATGTCAGCTTGGAGTTGTCATGTTCACTCAAAGATCCAATTGGCGGTGGCACGTGCATTGGGTCGCTAGATTCCCTGCAATATGGTTGAGTTGGGCGGTGCTGGTGTACGTGTCATGTTCATGAACGGGCGCCGTCAACTGTGACTGGTCAGCTCCAGACTGTATTATTTATTGTCTTTAAGGGTTATTTTCTTTTTCGATCTCTTTGGCTAGATTTGGTGTTACATTGTTCTCGCACAATCAAACCAATAAAACTGTGTAACTGAAGAATTGTATTGTGAAACTGATTGGAAAAGAGTAACCTATGGAGTTTCTTGCTCGTTCTTCTCCATAGGAATCTACACCTTGGAATGAGCAAATAGCTTCACTTTTAATTTTCTATTGCTGACGTTCAAAAGTGCCTTCCTGGTCTAATTGAAGTAAATGATTTTTGACTTTGACTTTGACTTTGCATTAACCATCACGCTTGCTCAATGCGGGTTGGCGATTTCAAACTTATAATTAGAAATTATAAGCCCAGGTTTCCTCACGATGTTTTCCTTCACCGTTTGTCAGTGGTGTCTAAATAATCTTAGAAAGTACATAATAACTCGGAAAAAGTCACATTGGTACTTGCCGTTGGTAGGTTTCGAGCCCGCAGCCTCGTGTATGAGAAGCGAGTGTCTTACCTCCGGGCCACAACGATATGTGTAGTGTGACATTTGACAAATAAAATAATGTTACAAAACGATATACTTACGAAGGAATATCCTTGATTTTGATTCCCATGACGTAGCAGATCCCATCTATCACATATGCAGGTATATAATGCAGGAGCCAGAACAAAAATAGATATAGTATGTTATTCTGAGTTTCAAGTAGATAACAGTACCAGACTGCTTTCGGAGAAGCCAGGTGCTTAAACTCTTCGGAACGCGTCAGATTCGCAAGATAACCTGGAGTTAGAAAGATATACGAGGTTTATAACTCAAATCTGCTCCTAAATATTACTTAATATTTTATTGACTGCCTCGTTGGCCGAGTGGTCGCACGACTGCCGGGCAAAGGGTCGGGCAGAATATTACTGGGTATTAAAATCTCAGTAGTAGCATGGAGTCTGGAATTGTGCCCGGTATATGGCAATAGGCTCACCCCCTATTACATGGGACTCATAACATAAATAGTGAAAAGTGGGTGTTACATTGTATAGTGGCATAATGTGTACCCTCTGCCTACCCCTTCGGGGATAAAAGGCGTGATGTTATGTGTTTTTTGAGAACCTCAACATCGTTCTACCATTTGTCATTTCCCGTACTCTTTTTCGTGGGTGTCGTATACCCGATTAAGAGACTCCACAGAGATGGTCAGCAGCGCTCTCTGATAAACCTGAACCTTTTATACTGCTATCTCTAACGTGATTGGCAAGGATGGAGATTATACCAACTCCTATTTTGTAGAAGAGGCCTATACTCCAGCAGTGGGACTGTCATGGACTTCATCATTGCGGTTGAAAATAAGTCCTTAGCCGGGTATATGTCGTCGCGGAGAACCTAACGGGCTACCGGGGCTCCGGCTCGACGTGCAGGAGAAGGAACGGGGTGGTTTTTAGACAGTAAGAGTCTGACACTTCCTCCCGCCTCACCCAGGCGGAAGCAGTCATTCGATGAATTTCCGCGCTTAAAAAAAAGCCGGGTATATGACACTCGCGGGAAGAGCAGGGGTGGTGACATGAGAATTTAGACTACTCTGTGACTTACTCCAAGGTATTCCGCATTTGGTGGAACTGACAGTGTAGATGGGTATGCCGTCACTGGCTGGTCTGTTGACAATGGAGTCCCAGCCTGCTGTAATGATGGCATTGTTGACGAAGTCCACAGGAGCTATATTTAAGTTTAGATCGCTTTTCAGGTAGAACACTCTGAGAAGACCAAGACCGACCCCTACCAACACCTGTTAAAAAAATATAGGAATTAGGAACAGGAGTTTATATTGAGTGCTAGCTTCTGCCCGCGACTTCGTACGCGTAATCCCTGTACAGTGTAGTGAACTGTACACTACTTTTTATAGTTAACTAGCTTTTACCTGCGGCTTCGCTCGCGTCACAAAAGAATAAAAAGTAGCCTATGTGGCATATACCAATACAGACAGCGCCATCTATACCAATACTTTTGTTTTTCCTCGGGAACAATTTTTCCGGGTTAAAAAGTACCCTATTATTTAATCCGGACTTCTAACTTTACGTCTGCAAAAATTCAAAGCAATCGGTTGAGTAGTTACGGCGTGAAAGTGGAACAAACAAACAAACAAACAAACTCACTTTCAGATTTATAATATTATTATTATATATATATTATATTATATTATATATTATATTATAGTAAGGATAGTAAGGATTGTTATGGAGTAAAGTACTCGTAGATAGTTAAGTTTGAAGTTGTGAGTGTAAACACTTCTAGAAGTCCCGAAAAGTTTATTTTTAAAGGTTACAAGTAAGATTGTTAGGTGATTCTCACAGTGGTACGTTCGGTAGCGAGTTGAAGTGCATACTGGTCTACAATTGAATGCCGCGACGGAATATCGTCCTTTAGGGAACAGAGAGTATAGTTCCCTAAGATCGGAAAAGGAGGATCCTCCGACCAGGCGAGGTGATCGTGCCTGGCCGGCTTTCTGCCCAATAGTTGTTTGTTGGGTTTTTCTATCCATGTTTATTCGCTTGTAAACTTTGCATGTGCGATGTAGGATTCTTGTGACGTCATCCGTTGACATGTGGCATGCGTCGCCACAGTCCGATATGTATAGTCATTCATAATAAAATAAGCTTAATTAACATAATTAGTGTACGTAAACCGTACAATCCCATTTTTTCCCGTCCCCGTTCGTGATTTTCGGTAAAAAGTAAAAAAGAGGTTGGTTGAAAATCCTATGTCGGTCTCCTGGCTCTAAGCTACCTCCCTACCAATTTTCAGCCAAATCTATTCTGCCGTTCTTGAGTTATAAGTGGTGTAACTAACACGACTTTCTTTTATATATAGATCTGTGCCTCCTGTGATAAGTGATATAACTCGAGTTGTACCCTTTTTATGATTTTCACATGAGCATTATCAAAAAAAAATTACGTGTTTTTTGGTCTAACTCACGTTCTTCTATCTGCTATAGTTTCGGAGATAATTTTGTGCAAAGTGATACAACTATAGGAATTTTGGCAAAAAAATCGTGACACTCGATATTTGTTAAGTTGTAACTCCAAAACCGGTCACTTGACAAACTATTTTTCGTGTTTCGTGATTTAAATGCTATTATATTTAACTTCACATTTTATTTTTCAGTATTTTATCGTGAATTTTGATGTGACTACAGTAATATCCCTTTGGACGAATTCTTTCGATATGCCTCTAGGATACAATCGACATGTACCTACAAATCTGAATGTAAGGTATGCCATTTTTTGTGAAAAGTGATCAACTTGACTTAAATCATTCTACACAAATCTGTCTTTATGTGTAAATAGATATAAATATAGTTGTATCTAAATATTCCAACCAATTGTAAAATATACGATATAAAATAATTAATGTGCTAAGTGATACAAGTGTAGGTAGGCAGGGGTTCGCGGGGGTAATCGGGGTAATTTTTTTTCAGCTAAAATTCGAATTGATAAAATAATGAAATGGGCTACACTAAAATCAGATATTGAAGAAAAAGATACCCAGGAAATGGCCACGAATCAAGAGTGGACCAGAACAAGCGAACGTTGATGGGTCATGGCGCCGGCGTCCAGTAGTTGCAGAAACGGTCACTGACTAAGAAAAATCTAATGATATCCAGAAAGAAGATAACGAATCAATAGAGACGCAAGAAGGAAAAGAACTAGTTGAAGAATTGCGGAACCCTACAATTGTTGCGGAAACAGTTTTCAATAATAATAAGATGAGCAAGACTCAAGAACATTCTTCAAAAAATCTACTCGACGATTTGAGAATTTCAGAATCATCTGATGATGGTGATTTTGGAAGAGGGCCATTCGATCAATTTATAATCCTATTTATTTATTTATTTATGCTTTATTGTACACATTTAAGTAGCTTAAAAACAAACAATTCAAGAGCTAATCTTAGTCCGAGGTACTCTCTCATGGAACTATTTAAAGAAATTGATAATAATGACTGTTGCCTCTCAATACATTTATAAAAATGTAGTACATGCGCATAAAAACAAAAGTTTATTTAAAAAATATAGTGATATACATAATTTCAACACGAGAAATAAAGACAAATACCTATGTTGTTCTCACTACTAGACTACAGAAAATAAGTGGTTCGTTTAGATGTTAGAGTATACGCTTTTACAATAAAATTCCCAGCCATATCCAAAATTTGGGTCTAAATAAATTTAAAAATGTCATTAAAGATAATAAATAATTTTATAGTAAAGCTTTTTATAAAATAAAAGACTACCTAGACTATAGTCGGGCTTGGGAATAAGCTGCTGTAACGTCCACACAGGTCATGTCGACATGTTTGTAACATATAGTTACATTTCTTTTTTATAAGCAATTTGACATTATTGTTTTAATGTGACTTTGTTTTTCATTTGAATTTTTTTTGTATGTTGGTCTAACTTGACATTTATTTTTATTTTGCAATTGTTATTGCTAGGACCGTGCGAGACTTTGCCTCGCCATTTCTTTTCTAATTACCCATATTCTGACAGTTTGAGTATTTGTGCGACTCACGCAAATGTTCTTCAGGTTGGTATTGGTCGTCGAATCAGTCAGCCTCACCTGTTAATTGAGCTGACTGTAAAGCGACACATGCGGACTGCCTTCAGAACAGGTCCGCTCAAACTTTTGTGGTTCTTTCCCCAAAAGGCCACTACAGAAAGAACTTGCACGGTTCTCACACATAATCTGTTGTCATATTGTCTGGACTTTAAAAAAGGCGGGCCTCTGAGTTCGTTTCGGCATTTCTTCTCAGAGTAGTCAGTTAGGAAATGTCGACCTCATCGTTCGGTTGATATAATTGACGTGTAAAAGTGCTGCCCTGTAGCCTATTTGCAGAAATAAATTCACTTGTTTCACTTGTTTCCTTGGATCTTTTAGAAGTGATGAATATATTTGCAATACTGATGAATTGTGTTTATCCACTGATGATGAAAGAGTACCGGCTAAAAAAAAAGAACTGCTACGTCGTCATTGATGAGACACACCTCCAATATTACGATTCCAAAAACACCACCATCACCCGTGAACACATCAGAGAATTCCGTTCCTGGTTGCTCTTTCTGGGATCACAAAGGATTTAGAGTGCCGGAAAAAAGAAAAAAACGAGAAAAAGTGACAAAGAGAGAAGACAGAATGGAGAAAAGAGAAAACAAAGGAAAGTCGGCAACTTCGTGAACTCCAAAACTATTTTTATTATTAATTAATTAACCCACAGTTTAATTAATTATTTTTATTACTTCGTATAACACTGAGTAGGTAAATTGCTTACTGTGATAGCTTATCAATACTGATCTGTGCCATTACTTAGTTTTACTTGGTTTTAAACGTTTGTCTTTATGATAATTATGTTCCTTTTAACAATAGTTACATTCGTATAGACATATTGTATAGATGTCCATTTAGTTTTATAGGAATTTTGATAAAAATGTGCATAACGGCTGTATTTTTAGGTTTATAAACGTTGATTTTTTATTTTTCTAAAACTTGTATTCGTTTACACATATCACTATCTTTTTTTTGAGGGGTACATCTTGACTTACATCATTTAGCATATCTTCAGAAAGACAAGGATTTTAGTAAATTGATATAGTTCAGCTAAATTATGTAAATAGGTGACTGATAAGTATAAAAAATGAATCTTAAGGGCTATATTTTCAACTTTTGTTTTAGCACATTTCGCTAGAATCATTATTTTAATGTGTTATTAGACATTTTAACTTCATGTATATCAGTTTACACTAAGACAATTTTTTGGTGCAAGCTTGGTGCAACGTAATTTAACTGTACAAGTATCATTAATAACTTAATTTTAGCACATAAAAAACTAAGTAAAAGTTACAAGTCGCAGGTTTTTCATGAATTACTTCCAAAAAATCTAAATTATATAAAGAAAGAGAATGTTTTGATCTATAAATGAGTGCACTAATATTTAACCTAGGCCACTTAATTAACGAACTAGATTTTTTTAAATCTTATTTTTGCTGTCCTGTAAAATGACGTTTTTGGACTTGTATCACTTATCACAGGAGGCACAGAGATAATCTATACAGTCATATAATAAAATCGTAGCAAAGTGAAAACTGTACATCGATTTTTTTTTAAAATGCTTTGGGCGTGATCTACAGTCGATACCGAAGCCAAAATTATGGTTTATAGAATCTTTGATCTGTTTGTCTGTATGTATATCCGGAATGAACTCATAAAGTGCTGCACGAATTTAACTCATATTTTGCATGAATAGTAGGTACTTATAGGTCGGGTCAGCATATAGGCTACATATTTTCACGCTATCACCTACGGAAGAGGTGCTGTGAATCACCCTTCCACGAGGATGATGATGAGTCGCGGGCACAGCTAGTTTAAGTACATTTAAACAAAGAGTTTCCTTTTCATGTATAGAAGCACTAATTCTATGGATTGTCAGTATGCATATGTGAGCACCATGTTGGACTTCAAGATTTTTTTTTTAATTTTAGTAAATTATTAGTATAATGCGCCAAGCATGTCTTTGCATTGTTCTTACATATACGTACAGTATTGAAATATGTATCAGAGACATTGTAGAACATACTATTTTAAAAAGAGTAACGAATGGAGTTTCTTGCTCGTTCTTCTCCATACGAATCTACTTTTTGGAATGAGCACCTAGCTTCACCTAGTTTCACTGACGGACTGACTGACAGACTATTATTTATTTTGTATTTGTTGACGTTTCAAAAGTACCAAACTATGGTTTAATTGAAATAAATGCTTTGACTTTTGACTTTGACTTTGACTTTACATTTACATTTACATTTACATTTTATAGGTCGACGTTTGACCACCATCTCGCCTGATGGTAAGCGATGATGTGGCCGACGATGGAGCACGCCTACCTATGAGCAATCAGTTCACTCGGGACTTGAAGTCACCCAAGTCATATTTGACGGGAAACACAGCCTCTGGCAAGGAATTCCATTCCTTAGCGGTTCGTATGAGGAAGCTTAAAGGTAGTAATAATATTCTGTCAAGCCAATTTTCTGTTAAGGTTCCAATCAGGCTATTGGAGCTCCAATTCACCCCTTTCGGAAGACCGACAACGCATTTGTAACTCGTCTAGTGTTCTGAGTGTCCATGGGCGACGCCGATTGCTTACCATCAGGTGATCCGTCTGCTCGTTTGTCTCTATAAAAAATATACTTACACCACAGGGACCGGACATGATACTGGTGTCTGCCCATCCTGGGGACGGCTCCATGTAGGATGTCAACACTGAGGAAATAAAAGTGAAGATATAATTATGTTGCAAGAACCTTTTTGCCCGACCCAAATACTACCCAAAACTTACCTAAAGGCGGCTTCACAATGGCTACCGGCAGGTCAGCAGCAGTGGTTCTGATCAGTTCCTCAGCAATTGCTTTTGTGAAGGTGTACGTGTTCGGCCAGTCTTTAATCAATCTGTAAACAAGAATATGCTGTAGATTGTGGTGACGGCTTAAGGAGGAAGCAAGGTGCATGAGGGAGACACTCCGAGCGTTGGGGATCGCGCGACGATCTCCGGCCACCGTAAGTGCGGGTCTACGGACGGCGAGCAAGAGTAGATCACCACAGATGGGATCCAATTAGTCGGGTATACGACACCCGCGGGAAGAGTAGGGGTGGTGAGAAATGTAAACTACCTGAAACACGTCTCTGTCACCAGGGTTTGACTGGTGGTGCGGTGGTTGGACAAACGACTACCGTTCAACGTGTATCTGGTTCGATTTCCGCACGGAGCAATTTTTTGTGTGATCCACAGATTGTTGTTCCGGGTCTGGGTGTCATGTATACGACACAGGAGAAAATTACAGTGTGGGTCCACTTTGAAAAAACCCAGGAAACAATAGATTTCTTTGCTTGGTAGTCTCTTAGTCGGGTATACGACACCCATGGGACGAACATCGGCGGTGATTAAAATTACATCTGATATATATACGTACTCTGCAGTAATATTGTCCAGTCTGCTGTCTTCCATGGTCTCCACCATGCCAATAATAGCTGTAGGAGAGACAGGAGAAGGGTGAAACTTCTCCTTGAGATCAGTTCCTATTCGGCTGGCAGTGGCATGGGTGAACCCAGTGGATACGTGGATGAAAGACCTGAAAAATTGAAATAAGGTACATTTAGCTTGCCCCCTGTCTTTGTTTGGGTCTAGTAATTATAATTTCACCCCCTTCCTGACGACAGATCGATCTGATATTTGGTACACACTCTTTATCTTGATGACAATACAATATAATCTAATTGTTTCCACAACTACCTCCATTATGGATATCAAACGAAAGGGCTTTATATGTACCTATTTTTTGTTTGTAAATAACATTTCATCCAGAATTTTTTGCCAACTTATACAAAAATTGCCCTTGCTCAATCTCTTCTTCTGCCGATCCTCGACTATGCTGATGCCAGCTATCTCGATCTCACCCAGGAACAATTAGATAAGCTTGAGCGTCTTCAAAATCTATCAATCAGGTTTATATTTGGACTGCGCAAATATGATCACGTTTCAGATTTTCGAAAAAAACTCAAATGGCTACCTATTCGACTTCGCCGGAATGCTCATATTCTCTCATTACTTTACAATATACTCTTCAATCCTGCTGCCCCTTGTTATCTAAAAGAACGTTTTCAGTTCCTTGGTGACACACATACAAGGTTATTGAGATCATCAGACAATCTTAATTTAAATATTAGTTTGCACTCCACTTCCTTTTTTGGTAATTCCTTCACTATTAAAGCGGCTCGGTTGTGGAATGCCTTGCCGATTAAGGTGAGGCGTGCTCAAACTCTACCTCAGTTTAAAAATCTAGTTAAAGAACATTACCTCTCTCTTTAGTCATTATTTTTAAAAATTCCTACCTAGCATGGAAACACATAAACACACACACACACACACACACACACACTCACACACGCGCGCGTGCACACACATACACATCTACACACACACTCACTTATGTATAGTAGTTATATCTATTTTAATTTTATATATTATTTATTTGGTATGTAGGTATAGATAGTATTATATTGTATGTATTGTTTTAATTATTGTACACTAGACGACCCCCTTTTTCAAACTCCTGAATACTGGCTCCATCCAAAGGTTGTCTGGAAGAAATCGCATTCTGCGATAAGACCGCCCATTGTGCACATTCTTTTATGTTTGTTTTTTTATGTATGTTTTTATGGTGTACAATAAAGTGTAAATAAATAAATAAAATAACATCTTTTATCTCCGAAGGGGTACGCAGAGGTGCACATTATGCCACTGTACAATGTAACACCCACTTTTCACTATTTATGTTATGAGTCCCATGTAATAGGGGGTGAGCCTATTGCCATTATACTGGGCACAATTCCAGACTCCGTGTTACTACTGAGAATTTTTTAAAAACCCAGTAATAGTTTGCCCGACCCGGGAATCGAACCCGAGACCCCTTGCCCGGCAGTCGCACTTGTGACCACTCGGTCAACGAGGCAGTCGACGTTTGTCCACTATCTCGCCTGGTGGTAAGCGATGATCACTTGGAACACCAGAGGCGTTGCAAGTTTGTTACCTGCCTTTTGGGGATTAGGAATTTGATGATTGTTGGGGATTCAGGGATTGGGGAGATTGGGGATAATAGGGATGATGACAGGGTATGAAAATTAAAAATCTAATTAGTCCCTAAGTTAGATAATGAAAAAATATTAGACACGTATTTTTAATTTTGTCGTATAATAAAATGATACTTTGATAAAACGGATCAAAGTTTAGGAGTGGGAGTAAAAACGTCATTTCTACGTATAAAACATCACTAGAAGTGACGTCACGCAACTGTATCTGTAAGAAAACAAAAAATACGTGTGTAATGATTTTAAATAATCTACCAGACGGACATAAAATAAAAATTAGTCGTCTACCCTATTGGGCCTCCGGTAACCTCACTCACACGACGAAACAGACCGCAAGAGTTGTTTCACGTCGGTTTTCTGTTCGGCCGTGGTATCACTCTGGTCAAACCGGCCCATTCGTGCCGAAGCATGGCTCTCCCACACTCAAAGGCGTTGCAAATGTTACAGTATTTTATGGTCAACTTACTTAATATGTTTACAGTCCTTCGCTAATGATATGACTTCTCTGGTCCCTCTGACATTGGTCACCACTGCAACCCGAATGGGTGAGTCGAAGCGAATCGTCGCCGCCATATGGACTATGATGCTAGTCTGAAAATCAAAAGTCAAAGCATTTATTTCAATTAAACCATAATTTGGTACTTTTGAAATGTCAACAAATACAAAATAAATAATAGTCTGTCAGTCAGTCCGTCAGTGAAGCTAGGTGCTCATTCCAAAATGTAGATTCGAATGGAGAAGAACGAGCAAGAAACTCCATTCGTTACTCTTTTTAAAAAAGTATGTTCTACAATGTCTAATGTCAAATATTAACGAAAACGCTGAAATATTATACCCTAGATAGATCTCAGACTTTTACTGACTAAAAACCACCCCGTTCCTTAGGTTCTCCCCGACTCCGAATCGGCATCAGCCCTATTGGGCCCCATCGGTGGTGGTCTGATGCGAAGCGCCGTGCGCTCGGGTAGGTAAAGGTCTGGAGTTCACATAGGTTACTTTTACTCATAGGATCGCGGGCGAAACCGCTGACAGTACCTAGTTATATAATATGCATGATTTAGGTCATAGGTAGTAATACATCATTTGTTTCCCGCAAAAAAGTGATTACAAATTCAAATCGAACAGACTTTTAAAGTAATTTGAATGTTTAGTTGTAACATACATAATCTATGTTTAATTGAATGCTACACTCATTAGGGTCGGTTCACACAAACGGGCTAGAAGAGGAAAGCAGATTCTTATCATGTTGAAAACAGAGTTTTCACTATTTGTACTAAGGTTAATTTTTTCATGTACACTGCTTTTGTCATTAAGAATGCTTGAAGGTGTTTGATGTGAAATAACAACAGGACAGGAGCTGACCGGCTCCGATCGCGTGCTCTTTCTCGCTCGCGCAGCCGATTGGCTCCGATTGCGAGCTCGCTCGCGCTGCCGATTGGGTCCGAATGCGTGCTCTTTAACGCACGCGCAGCCGATTGGTCTCGATTGCGTTCCCCTCGCCCCACGTCGACCGTCATTTTGATAGCACAATCCTTTCTACGAGCACATCCGACCGGCTTTAAGTGCATCCGACCAGCTCCAAGCGCTTCCGAGCGGCTGCGAGCGATTACAACCAGCTGCAAACATATCCGATCGGCTCCAAACGCATACGCTTTTAGGTCGCTTTCAGCTGGTCTATCTCAAATAACAGATCCCAATTGGACTGATGCCCGATGCGGAGCCGCGGAAGGCCTAACGGTTTGCCGGGACTCTGGCACGTAAAGCAGGATTAGGAACGGGGTGGTTTTTTCTCAGTAAGAGTCTGACACACCCTCTCGCCTAACCCAAGGCGGGAGAACAATTTGATGATTTTCCCCCCTTAAAAAAAAGCGTGTGCGATCCGGTCTGTGTAAAAATAAAATTGCGCGCCGATGCTCTCCGAGCCGGTCTGAGTAAGGGATCGTTACTATCATCATATTATTATCAGCCATAAGTCCACTGCTGAACATAAAGCCTCCCCCCAATGACAAAAATCTTATGCCATTATACCTCTATAAAACTGAAGGGTGTGTTTGTTTGAAGACGCTGATCTCCGGAACTACTGGTCAGATTTAAATAATTCTTTTTGTGTTGGATAGTTCATTTATTGAGGAAGGCTGTAGGCTATTTTAATAGGACCTGAGTAGCGGGTTAAACCATGCAGAAGTGGGTAGTCATGAATAAACAATAATTAATACATAATTAATTTTTAATTTTGTATTCTAAGTATGGCCGTTATTGTAACTGTTATATGTTATCTTTTTTTTCTGCCAGCGTCTTCATTCACGTACCCAGGGGTAAAAGTACCCTATGTGTTATTCCAGGTTTCCTCACGATGTATTCCTTCACCGTTTGTCAGTGGTGTCTAAATAATCTTAGAAAGTACGTATAACTCGGAAAACGTCACAATGGTACTTGCCGTTGGTAAGGTTCGCAGCCGTACTCTCATGTATGAGATACGATTTTAGTTTAGACACGTAATACAATTTTTTAAAACTACTTAAACCCTCTATATTGACATTACGTTACATTACCTATATAAAACTATCTGTTGTCGTCGGGGGCCCCGACGTCGTCTGCGTAGAAATATGTTTTATTCCATGGGAGCATTTATTCGGGATAAAAAGTATCCTAAAGGCTCGTACACAAAACTGCGATGCGGATTCGCAACGCAGAAAATTACGACACGAATTGTTGCGATGCGATTTCGTGCGACAAGGCGTCTCCCAGGGTGACCATTCCTTCGACGACCGTCAACCGTATTATACGTATTTTAAATTGAAAACTAGGTCGTGACATGGATCGTAAACAGAAGTGTGCACTTCTGTTATTGCTTAGGAGATACAGGAAAAAGAAACAAAGAAGATTTTGGGAAGATAAGATTTTGATGCGCGATGCGAATCAATTCGCAAGTTCTTGCGATGCGTAGAGGGAGCTCGCACATATTTGCGATGTGACGTCGCATTGCAGTTTTGTGTACGAGCACTAAGTCAGCCCATACCCTGCTTGTATAGTGTATACCTATCAAAATCCGTTCAGTAATTTCAGCGTGGTTGACGGACAAACATACAGACAAAGAAACATTCACTTTTATTTTAATACTAGCTTTTACCCGCGGCTTCGCTCGCGTCACAAAAGGATAAAAAGTAGCCTGTGTGACTATCCATCCCTTCAACTACCTTCAGTTAAAAAATCACGTTAATTAGTACCTCCGTTCTGCCGATTTAGACAGGCAAACAAACAAATAGCTTTCCGCTCGCGTGGAATTCGGTTATATCGCGCTATTTAAATTTTTCCAATAAGTAGCTAATTCGTTGATTGGTTTGAAATGACATACAGCGCCATCTATACCAATATTTTTGTTTTCCCTAAAGTACCCTATTATTTGATCCAGACTTTTAACTTTATGTCTGCAAAATTTCAAAGCAATCGGTGTAGTAGTTACGGCGTGAAAGTGGAACAAACAAACAAACTCACTTTCCAATTTATAATATAAGTAAGGATTAGTGTAATGACGTCAGATGTTATTTGCGCGTCAAATAATTAATTGAGAATGTCATTAACACAGTGTCAACAACGAAGGTCGATGTTTTAATGAATTGTTAATTATACAGTTCAACTGTATTCCTATTAATTGCACTGAACAATACATGTGTTTATTGAAAATGAATTTTATTATTATTTATTGACTAGTTTTTGATAGCGGCTTTACCTGTGTCTGTAGGATATAAAATAAACTATTATGTTATACCATTCCGATTTACTCTGTATCGAATGTAATACACAATAATGAAGATCTTTCATGTTTTTATAATAACTATCGTGAGACATACTACATTAACTAAAAATCACGGGTTACTCACGTGAATATACTGAGTAAAGCTCTACTAGTTTCGAACCACAGAGGGGTTCTTCCTCTTGAGCAACGTGAGCGGCCTAGCATAGCAGTAAACTAGATAGCCTACCAGTAGACTGCGCGACATCGCCGCGACCGCGCACGCTGCTCATGAGGAAGAACCCCTCTGTGGATCGAAACTAGTAGAGCTTGTCTCAGTATATTCACGTGAGTAACCCGCGATTTTTAGTTAACATCTTTTATATGATAAAACTATTGAAGTGTAAATCCGATTACGATGAAACTTGGTATTAATATACTTTAATATCCTGGGCACAACATTGGGTACTTTTTATCCCGAAACAGTAAGAAACAAAGTTAAATTATGGGGCTCGATGCCTAGACACGGTTACTGTATTAAGCGCAATGATATACCCTGTGCCCCCAGCTCAATGCAGGAGTAGGAACGGGGTGGTGTTTAGTCAGTAAGAGTCTGACACTCTCTCTCGCCTCACTCAGGACGGGAGAAGACATTGGATGATTTCCCTTCATCAAAATTAATTAAAAAATCTTACGTCTTTAGCAACGATGTCCCATTCTTTATCGCTCAGGCCGAGCCTAATATCAGCCACATCTCCTTCCACAGGCACAATCTGCTCAGCAAAATTAGGCTTCACCATTCTCAATTTGTCAAATACCTGAAAAAACCAAGTAAAATCTTAGATTTCTAGATGTTAATTTTCTAGAGTAGATTTGTTAACTACCACCACTAATAGAGGAGGCTTATAGCCTAGCAGTGGTCTGCCACAAACCGTTGATGATAATGATGATGATATTGAAAAATTAAACAATGTATATTTGCAATGCAACTACACTATGTAACTAGAGAATTGTACTGTGAACCTGATTGAAAAAGAGTAACCTATGGAGTTTCTTGCTCGTTCTTCTCCATAGGAATCTACACCTTGGAATGAGCAAATAGATCAATTAGAGGACTGACCTACATACTGACATTTATTATTTTATTTAATGTTTAAATGACTGCCTCGTTGGCCGAGTGGTCGCAAGAGCAGGCAAGGGGTCTCGGGTTCGATTCCCGGATCGGGCAAAGTATTACTAGGTTTTAAAAAATCTCAGTATTAGCACGGAGTCTGGAATTGTGCCCGGTATATGACAATAGGCTCACCCCCTATTAGATGGGACTCATAACATTTACATTGTACAGTGGCAATTTGCACCATTTGGGCCGTAATTTGCACCTCTGCCTAACCCTTCGGGGGTAAAAGGCGCACTTTTGAACACATAACATAACATCGCTGTTAGTCTTCAAAAGTGCCTCCTTGGATCAATTGAAATATGTGATTTTGGCTTGACTGTGATATTAAATAATTGCTAGTATTATACTTACAGGATCATTTAAAATGAATTTCATTCGATCTTGAATAGTTTTTCCTTTCTTCGGCCGGATGAGAACGTACATCTTCTTGATGGCACATGATCTGGAAGTAAAAGAAATAGACTTGAATAATCTTATACTATTATCTTATACTCTTATCTTTTATATAATTCTTCTGTGAGTGTGTATGTCACTGAACTTCTCTCAAACGAATGGACCGATTTTGATGAAAGGGGATCTGGGAATGGTTTAGATTCATAAATCAGCCCGCCAGATGGCGCTGCAGTCGGTGTCTAGGTTGGTTATCCTAAACGGCTGAACTAATTTGAATGAGTTTTTGTTTATACATTCAAGTGGATATGCAGGACAACGTCTGTTGAGTCCGCTAGTACCTACTATTATATAAAGCGGAAGAGTTTGTTTTTTGTTTGTTTGTTTGAACGCACTAATCTCCGTAACTACAAGTCTGATTTGAATAATTCTTTTTTGTTGGATAGCGCATTTATCGGGGATGGCTATAGGCTATAAAACATCACGCTACGACCAATAGGAGCTGAGCAGAGCGTGTGTAACCGCGCGGAAGTAGCTAGTAATATATAATCCTTCCATGCCGGCTATTTATGAAAGATATTTTTTAAGAATTGTCTTTTTTTGAAGTCATTTAATACGGTGTTTTAGCCTAGATGAGAAAAAAAAAGTATATTAGAATGATTGTTAAGAGGCAAATCAATCGGGAAATGTTAGTTTTATTTCAAAAATATAGACCACAATCTCAACTACAGACCCTTATAATGGGTGACCCTTTTAGCATAGGCATGTTGTCAGCGTCTCTTTTCTAATTCTTCTGTTTCAATTTTTCAACTCTTATATTTTTATGGGTAGTATTTAAACGAATATCAAAAAATATCCTTTTTCTTTGCAATAAGATTCCGAATTCCCATCAAAATTACTGATTGCACAGCAAAATATTTAACTCAAAATATTACTAAACACACTACAATTTATTTTCGCAGCGTACAACGATTTTGCCTAAAGCAAAAGCTTTCATTAATGCACAGCTAATAATCTTAATGCACATTATATAGGTAAACTCTTTTTCTTTTAAATATAGCTTCTATTTTAAAATTATTTACAACAGTTTTTCTAAATAAAGCAGCATTTTAAATTCACTTATTTTATTTAAACTAATATTTTTAATATAAACGGCTAAATGGTATGAAAAGATTTGAAAAGCAGTTAGTGATATAACGCTCGGCGGCCGCTACCGCGGCACCGCTCGCTACGCTCGCTCGCCTCGCGCCTTGTGAGGGTCGCAGTTCTAACCTAACCTAACCAAATGTTTCGGGGTGCCCAAAATTGCTGTGCAGTCAGTATTTATGCTATGTATGTAGTATTTTTGTACAAAAACAAATATAACCGTATTGCATTATAAGGAAAAAAGGATTGTCGTATTGATGTATAATTTCGAATTATCTGCAGTTTGAGTTTTGTAGAACATTTCATTTGTTTGTAATGAAGTAAGTTATTTGATGTAAAAAAGAATATAAATGATGAGTATGTATTGATAGGCGATTATTTATTTGATATGCAATTTATAATATCCCTATTTTTATTACTTCCACTGTCACATCTTGATTGTCTTTTTTTATTTTTTATTTATGCTGCATCGTGCCTGGTGCTGAATTAATGATTTTTCTTTCTTCTTCTTTCTTTCTTCTTAATCAACCTCTGTTTCAAATTACGCCCCAGTTCCTTCAGCCATTTTGATATGACTGAGTAAAAAACATACAGACAAACATACATATTTCCACATTAATAGTTCAAGGTAATTACAACCATCGGCCCTACAGTTACAGCGTAAAGTCTATTGCGGGCAACCTAACATTCGACAAACTTATATTTAAGTATGGTAAGTACAGTAACGTCAGAGGTATTTTTTTTATGTTTCATGCACATAACATCACGCCTTTTATTTCAGAAGGGTTAGGCAGAGGTGCACATTATGCCACTGTACAATGTAACACCCACTTTTCAATATTTATGTTATCAGTCCCATGTAATAGGGGGTGAGCCTTTTTGCCATATACCGGGCACAATTCCAGACTCCGTGCTACTAATGAGATTTTTTTTAAAACCTAGTATTACTTTGCCCGACCCGGGAATTGAACCCGAGACGCCTTGTCCGGCAGCCGCACTTGCGACCACTCGGCCAACGAGGCAGTCTCATGCACATAGTGCACAATAGGTGGACCTAATGCCGCAGGCATTTCCTACCAGTCTGACCTTTGGGTGATGCGGAAGAGTAAATGGTAGGTGCAAGAGACAAGCAATGATTATATATATTAGAGATATACATAAATAAATATAATTATAATATATACCGTTTTTTATATTTGATGGGCCGACGTTTGCCCACTATCTCGCCTGGTGGTAAGTGATGATGCGGTCTACGATGGTGCACGTCGTCCCATAAGCAACCTATTCACTCAGGCCTTGAAGACGCCCCTTCAGGAAATATACATCATACACGAGTACAATACAATATGCATACATAATATATCTATCTATATACATATAATAAAATCGTAGAAAAGTCAAAACTGTACATAGATTAAAAAAAAAATACTTCGAGCGTGATCTACAGTCGATACCGAAACCAAAAATATGGTTATTGGAATTTTTGTCTGTATGTATGCCCGGGCTAAACTCAAAAAGTGCTGCATGGATTTACTTCAAATTTTGCATGAATATTACCAACAGGTCAGGTCAACATATAGGCTACATATTATCACGCTATCATCTACGGGAGAGGAGCTGTGAATCACAATTCCACGCAAACGAAATCGCGGGCAACAGCTGATATAAATATATAAATGCAATACCGTTTTATACTATGTAGTTATACATATATTATGACATACCTGAAGATTTTCTCAATATACTGCTTCCCCAAAAATCCAGAGCCACCAGTTAAAAACACTATTTCATTTGCATAAAACTTCTGCACATCAGATGAACCTTGAAGCATCAATTTGTCAACAGGCTCGAACGAGGCTAGCGCTTTGTACTCAACTTCTTGAGCCAAATCCATGGTTCAAATGAGTAAAATAAATAAAATATATCAAGGTACTATATTCTTAGTCTGCTTCGTACAAAGTGACAATGTGAAATGACGATCCGCATTCCCCGAGTTCATTTAATTGATTTTAAATTAACACATTCATAAATTACAACTATTTGTTAACAAACATTCCATTGCGTAAAAGTTAATTTGTGTTACTATTATTATATTATTAGGTGCAACATTTATGTATAACTAGCTGTGCCCGCGACTTCGTTCGCGTGGTTGTCGAAAACAAAATAATATCGTTTAGATTTTTAATGTAGGTAACATATTCTAACCGTTTTATGTGTGCATGCTGTGTTATCCAGTAAATAGTTGTTACACTTACCAAAGTACTTTTTTTAAATAAAAATAACAGTGGGTTATATACATATGAACTCCACTCAAGAAGATGGTATAGTATTTTTTTTGCCAATAAAGATCCTGACTATAGTATATTTTTATTTGGTAATTTATGTATAATGTGATGGAAGCTAAATAAGTATGTAAGGAGCGTAGTAGGTGGCGCTCTGTAGTTTCTGTATACCATCAGATGTACTAATGTGATGGAAGCTAAAGAAGTATGTAAGGAGCGTAGTAGGTGGCGCTCTGTAGTTTCTGTATACCATCAGATGTATGAATGTGATGGAAGCTAGAGAAGTATGTAAGGAGCGTAGTAGGTGGCGCTCTGTAGTTTCTGTATACTATCAGATGTATGAATGTGATGGAAGCTAAAGAAGTATGTAAGGAGCGGAGTAGGTGGCGCTCTGTAGTTTCTGTATACCATCAGATGTATGAATGTGATGGAAGCTAAAGAAGTATGTAAGGAGCGTAGTAGGCGGCGCTCTGTAGTTTCTATATACTATGTGACAAGGCTTGAGTTTAGTATATATTTAGATAAAAAATACTTTATATCTAATTTCTAGATTCGATATTAACTACCTTCGCTGTACCAGAATCAGCACAACATCACGGAGTCTGGAATTGTGCCCGGTATATAGCAATAGGCTCACCCCCTATTACATGGGACTCATAACTGATAACATAAATAGTGAAAAGTGGGTGGTACATTGTACAGTGGTATAGTGTGCACCTCTGCCTACCCCTTCAGGGATAAAAGACGTGATGTTATGTTATGTGTGTATCAACTTCAATCACGGAAGAACTTTTAATGTTACACTTCTTTGAAATATTGGAAAAATTACACACTACTATCCTTGAATGCAGATCTACTCAACAAATTAGACCGACTTCTAAATAGCTGCATTCGATTCGTTTTCAACTTACGTAAATATGATTACATTTCTGCACATAGGATGCAACTAAAGTGGCTGCCAATACGCTTGCGCAGACAGCAGAGGGCACCAACCACTTTATTCTCTTATCTTGACTCTCCTTCATCACCTACTTACCTTGCTTCTTACTTCCAATATACTTGCGCAAACCACACCTTTCTTCGTTCGTCTCAAAATCGACATCTTCAATGTATCTCTCATCGCACTGACTTCTTTCATTCTTCCTTTTTCATTCAAGCTGTTCTTCTGTGGAATGCGTTGCCCAAGGAGATCAGAATGGCAACAAATCGTAGCTCTTTTACTTCGATCAACAATAACAACTAGATAAAGGGTTACGTACAAAATCAAGCTCCAGTTCTGTCCGTGTGAATAATAATAGTAAAAAAATAACAAACTGAGAAAAATGTTTTAAAATGGTTTTAAATTCAACTTAATAACAACCATGGCACCTAATAATAAAGTCATAAATCGTCAAAATATTATCTAATACTTACGACCATTCGTCACATAAGACGAGAAAAGCATTTTCTTACCCCTGTCATGTAGAAATTAAAAGACATAAGTTATAAAATATCTAGTTTGAATTCAACCTTAAGTTAGAACAAATAAAGATAATTTTTCCGTTATTGCCTTGTGATCTATATCGATTTGTTTTGTTGCGTTTTGCTTCTTCGAATTTTGAATTTCGCTACAGGAGGTATGTATGGAGTCGTGTTGAACACTAAAATAATTTTATTTTCGGGATCTTAGTATACATCACTTATTTTTATTAGCGGTACGTTTTTGTGTATCATCAGTTTATTAACTTTGTCATTAAAAGTCTAAGTCAAAATCATTTATTTCAGTTAGACCAGGAAGGCACTTTTGAACGTCAACAATATAAATTTAAAAGTGAAACTATTTGCTCATTCCAAGGTGTAGATTCCTGTGGAGAAGAACGACCAAGAAACTCCATAGGTTAAGTACTCTTTTCCAATCAGGTTACAATACAAATTTGTTTTAAAATACAAATCGACTCCATGCATTCACTGTTCTGTTTAAACAAATGTTTGTGCGCGTGTTGGCAAAGCTTGGCCAAGGGATCGCCAACACACGCACAAACATTGGTGGCGTTGGTTTATAATTGGTAATTTTGTCTAATTTGATATTATTTACTAATTTAAAAGCTTAAAATATAACTTATACTTTATTTACTTATCGAAAGTAAGACACTCCGGCCGTTATATTGCTTTTTCGGTTATTATTTTTGCAACTTGCAATTACGCACTGCAGCATCGTGAGACGTGATTACGTTGGCCATGTTTGGAGCATACTAAACAAAATAAGAGCTCACTTTTCAAGTGAGCTCTTATTTGTCGAGACGATTTTCTTGCGCCGACCCGATATCTAGTTGTTATTGTTGATCGAAGCTCTTTTAAATTTAAAATCCGCGAGCATTTATTTAAGCATTGGCAGACTCAAAACAATTGAGGAAACTATTTTGACAAAGTTTCCTTTAATGTATTATAATACTAGCTTTTACCCGCGGCTTCGCTCGCGTCATAAAAGGATAAAAAGTAGCCTATGTGACATATACCTATACACACAACGCCATCTATACCAATACTTATGTTTTTCCTCGGGAATATCAAATTTTTTCCGGGTTAAAAAGTACCCTATTATTTAATCCGGACTTTTAACTTTACGTCTGCAAAAATTCAAAGCAATCGGTTTAGCAGTTACGGCGTGAAAGTGGAACAAATAAACAAACAAACAAACTCACTTTCAGATTTATAATATTATATAGTAAGGAAAGGATTTATGTAGTTAGTAGGTATAAGTATTAGTTTAGCAGTATACTATTATATAGTATGTATGTCTATTCAGATTTATAAAATATACTGTATTATTATACTGCCTCGTTGGCCGAGTGTTCGCAAGGGCGACTGCCGGGCAAGGGGTCTCAGGTTCGATTACCGGGACGGGCAAAGTATTACTGGGTTTAAAAAAAAATCTCAGCAGTAGCACGGAGTCTGGAATTGTGCCCGGTATATGGCAATAGGCTCACCCCCTATTACATGGGACTCATAACATGAATAGTGGAAAGTGGGTGTTATATTATACAGTGGTATAAGGTGCACCTCTGCGTACCCCTTCGGGGATAAAAACATAACATCACGCCTTTTATCCCCGAAAGGGTAGGCAGAGGTGCACATTATACCACTGTGCCATGTACTGTACTACTGAGAATATTTAAAAACCCAGTAATACTTTGCCCGACCCGGGAATCGAACCCGAGATCCCTTGCCCGGCAGTCGCACCTACGACCACTCGGCCAACGAGGCAGGCAAAGTGTATAAATTTCTTAGGAAATAACTATATTAAGTCACAATTCTTGTTATTTTCCGGTGACATAATATTATGTATAAAATAATAGTCATTCATTTGTTTTCCTTGTAAATAGGTATACATATGTGAAAACGATACGTAAGCAACTTGATGCAAATGTCACCGACAGGTTAATCGACCTTAAGGTCAAAAAAATGTTCCACATTTTCTAGAACACTGATCGATATATTAATTTACTAATTACTTACTATCATTATAGAGGTATTGTAGTTTTACTGTTACGTCATTAGATAAAAATAAGTCATTAATATTAAACAGTTATCTATACATTAATAAAACGGTAGAATTGTATGTTCTGTGTGTGTGAGGGAAAGGGATTTTTTTTTATTATGGGATTTTTTTTAAGGGGGCAAAATCATCGAATGACTGCTCCCGCCTGGGTGAGGCGGTAGGGGGTGTCAGACTCTTACTGACTAAAAACCACCCCATTCCTTCTCCTGCACATCGAGCCGGAGCCCCGGTGACCCGTTGGGTTCTCCGCGACTCCGAATTGTTTATGGGATAAGCCGGTAAACGAGCCGACGGATCACCTGATGGTAAGCAATCGGCGTCGCCCATGGACACCTGGCGTTAGAAGTGCGTTTCTGGCCTTCAGGGATTACGAATTTGAGGATTGTTGGGGACTCAGGGATTGGGAAAGGGGAGGAGGGGTAATTGGGCCTCCGGTAACCTCACTCACGTCACGTCGTTGTTTCACGTCAGTCTTTTGTGCTGCCGTGGTATCACTCCGGTCAAGCCGGCCCATTCGTGCCGAAGCATGGCTCTCCCACACTTATAAATAGTGTAGTGTATAGCGGTCATATTAATTTTTAAAATACGTTTTCCATTTTGATCAACATATTAACATATTAACGACATACAACCTTGTATGTACATAGGTCTAATAACTGTTAAGCATGACTATGCATATGGGTAATTATTGTATTTATACGTAGTAAGTATTATATTCATTGTTCATACTATATTTTATTTATGTATTTATGCATGTATATATATAGTTTTAGGTATATATTATATATGTTGTATGTAAATATATATTATTTTATTTAGAGAATATATATTTTACTTGTATATATAATTTATAAGTAGATACCTGAGTACACCTAGAACAACCTCCACTTTCATACAATAGTACTCCATTCACCCAAAGGTTGCCTGGTAGAGATCGCTTTTAGTGATAAGGCCGCCTTTGTACCCTACTATTCTTTATTATAACATTACATGTATATTCTATTAATTTAAGGTGTACAATAAAGATTATTATTATTTACATATATTTATTTAAAATTCTCTATAAATTATATT